GCACAGGCCACCTCATGGCGCTGGGAGCGATGCCCTGGCTAGGCCCAGAAGCACGCGGGGCGACCGACGCACCATGTCCACACTGCGGAGCCGCGCTCCAGGTGGGGCAGTGAGCTCTGTCCCAAGCCAGGCTGGCACCCGCCTCCCGCACCACCCAGCGTGAGGTCTGCCAGCACTCGGCAGCCGCCAAAAGCAGAGGGGAAGTCACCGGTGGAGGAGAGGGCCTGGGGGCCGAGCGGAGCCGTCCCTGTGGGGCAAGTCAGGCCGGCGGCCAACAGCCACCCTCACCCACCTCCTGGTCCCCACCCTGGGGTTCTGGGGAATGTCAATGGTGTTCAGCACCGAGTCGTGCTTCACCGCCAGGCCCAGGTCCGCGATGGCGCAGCTTTCGTTCCTCTTCACTAGGATGTTTTTAGATTTCAGATCTCGGTGCGCGATCGCTGGCTTGCCTGTTCACAGAAACGGAAAGCGCCGTCAATTTTGAAAGCAACGGTATGAATTTTAAAATAATGAGCAAGGAAGCAACAACAGTTTTATGAAACTTTGTTACTATACTCTGTAAAAAAATATTGAAACCTATTTTATATTAAGTAAGGCTCTGCTAAATGCCATCAAATAAAAACAAAACTTGAGGGCATTTTTGTCCAATATCTCTATTTCAGGAATGAAACACAAAAAGAGAAACTTTAAGTTCAAGCTCCGAATTCATTCAGAAACTCCTTCGTGAGCGCTCCCCTCTAGCACAGCTGCTCCACAGGCATCCACCACGTAAAGATGTGGAAGGAGGCGCAGACAGCGAAAGCAGGAGGATGATATTCCTATTCTGTTTATACTGCACTACATACACTAATAGCGTTTCCCACAGTACAACAGTTTGCAAAATGCTTTACGCATCACCCATAAATGTTTTTGCAAATACCACTGAAGCTCCCTAAAATACCCGAAGGACAACTGGGAGGGAAGCCCTTGCCTTGCGTGCCGACGATCTCCATGTGGAGATGTGCCAGGCCGCTGGCCACCGACAGCGCCAGCTTCACCATGCCCTCCACCGTCACCGTGCCTCTGTTCAGGTAGTCGAACAGCGAGCCTTGCTCATGGTACTCGGAGACGAGCCACAGCTGCGTCCACGTCCCGTTATCTACACGGAGGAAGCAAGATTATTCAAGCTTTATTAAAAAAACTAGCCAGGAAAAGGCTTCCCCGTTTTGTGGCTGGCTCAGGCACGCAAAGGAACAAGTCTGCCGGCCGTCCCACCGGGAAGGAGCTCAGGAGACCTGCGAGGTTCCAAGTGCTGTTTCGGATGGGAGCAGGGGCAGCGACAGCCATTTCAGGACAAGCGCCCAGGATTCACGCAACTGGCAGCATACCCTTGTTGTCGGCAGCAATAAAGCCCAGGATATTTTCGTGTCTCAGCATGACTGTCTGATAAATTTCTGCCTCCCGAAACCAGGACCGCTCGTCTCTGGAGGAGAAGATTTTCACAGCTACATCTTCCCCGCACCATTTTCCCCGCCAGACTTCGCCAAATCGGCCTTTTCCTACAATTTCCTGCAGGACAATAGTCCTCGCGATTGTTCTTTGCACAAGCAGAGGTAAACCTAGTGCAAAAAGGAGAGATGGGTATTTGTGAAATAGTTCAGCAGTGATCTTTAAACCCCAAAGCTGGACATATCCAGTGAGTTGTACTCATGACTTTGCTTTCATAGACTATGCGGGCCCAAACTAATAAAATAAATAA